CGCAGGGTTTGCCAGGTCGTGCCAATGGATTCAGGCCCGCTATGTCAATCGGTGCTCAACGATTAATCTGAGCAACACACCTTTTGCGTGGAGCTTGATGTAGGAAGTTCCAAGTACGGCGTCGGATTTTCCTGGCGTTATATGGGGCTGGTAAACAACATTTGAAATAATTCCGTCTAGTGCTGAAGGAACTGAACGCAAATCACATATAGCGCTTCATGACCTCTTAAAAAGGAATTTATTTGCTGCGGTTGGTAGGCTGTTTGTCGAGCCAGCTGAAGATGCTGAGTTCCAAGTCTTGATTGCATCATGGCGTTTGCTGTTAAAATTGCCTGGAGGGAGGGGTTCGCTAGAAACACAAATAGTTTCCAGAATGAGGTGCCCAAGGCGCAAGTCAACTCTCCCAAACTTGATTTCAACGCCGGTGGTGCTCAAAGAAAGTCAGGCTGCCGCTAAAGGCCCGTGATGGTTATGAGGGGACTACAGCAACGGCGAAGAGCAACACCCGCTGTCTGAGCGTGGCAGGGTCGAGCATCAATAAAAACAACTTTGACAGCGTACTGGGTGAGTTCACTCCTAGTCACCGACTCGCTGTGACCTGACACGCTTGTCCGACGACTGGGGTCGGACACGTCTGTGGGCTGAGTTTCCGTCGTATGAAGGACTTTGAACCAGAGCAGGTAGCTCGCCAGATTCCTGCAGCTGCGAGCCCTGTTGGCGATGCGCAATCTGCTGCGTGACCTCCAAGTCCAACCTGCTGGATAACGCGACCTTTCGTCAGGAGCTGGAACGCATCCTCAAGGACGATGCACTGGTGTTGCGCTGCGCGCTGAATTGGCCACCCTGGCTTGCCAAGACGATCGTTAATTAATAAGGAAGTTACATATTATGTCCCTGGAGCAATCACCCCAAGCTTCTCAGCTGACTAACGCCTATCAAGCAAGCGGGCAAGGTGTCTATGGCGCGTTATTCGCTAAAATCAACCTAAGCCCGGTTGCGGAGTTGAGCGGTATTGATGTTTTTCAAAACTCCGAAGCATTGTCAGAGGTGTCCGCTGATGAACGGGTCACCGCGGCCGTCAGTGTGTTTTTGGAACTACTGAAACAGTCGTCGCATAAAGTAGAACGCTTGGACAAAGTGTTGCTGGATGAACATATCGCATCCCTGGATGCACAGATCAACCGGCAACTTGACACCGTCATGCACCATCCCGAGTTCCAGCGCGTAGAGTCAACTTGGCGTGGTGTAAAGTCGCTGATAGATCAGACCGATTTTCGCCAGAATGTGCGTATCGAACTGTTGGATATCAGCAAAGATCATCTGGTACAAGATTTCGAGGATGCGCCTGAGATCGCTCAGAGCGGTCTGTATCTGCACACCTACACCCAAGAATATGACACCCCGGGAGGCGAGCCGATTGCGGCGGCCATTTCCAACTATGAATTCAGCCGCAGCCCGCAGGATATTGCGCTTTTGCGCAATATTTCCAAAGTGTCTGCAGCTGCCCACATGCCGTTCATCGGCTCTGTAGGCCCGGCGTTCTTTGGCAAAAAGTCCATGGAGGAAGTGGCCGCCATCAAGGACATCGGCAACTACTTTGATCGTGCCGAATACATTAAATGGAAGGCGTTCCGCGAGAGCGATGATTCCCGTTACATCGGCTTGCTGATGCCTCGTGTGCTGGGTCGCCTGCCTTATGGCCCGGACACCGTTCCGGTCCGAAGCTTCAACTACATTGAAAGCGTGAAGGGCCCGGATCACGAGAAGTACCTGTGGACCAACGCTTCATTCGCATTCGCGGCAAACATGGTGAAAAGCTTTATCACCAACGGGTGGTGTGTGCAGATTCGCGGCCCGCAATCGGGCGGCGCGGTGACTGAGCTGCCGATTCACCTGTATGACCTGGGCACTGGCAATCAGGTGAAAATCCCTTCGGAAGTGATGATTCCGGAAACCCGCGAATTTGAATTCGCCAACCTCGGGTTTATCCCTCTTTCGTACTATAAGAACCGCGACTATGCGTGTTTCTTCTCGGCCAATTCGGCCCAAAAACCGGCGCTGTATGACACCCCCGACGCCACTGCCAACAGCCGGATCAATGCGCGCCTGCCGTACATTTTCCTGCTGTCGCGCATCGCCCATTACCTGAAGCTGATCCAGCGGGAAAACATCGGGACGACCAAGGACCGCCGTTTGCTGGAGCTGGAGTTGAACAAGTGGGTCGGTGGGTTGGTGACCGAAATGACCGACCCGGGTGACGACCTTCAAGCCTCCCACCCGCTGCGTGACGCCAAGGTGACGGTAGAAGACATCGAAGACAACCCCGGCTTCTTCCGCGTCAAGCTTTACGCGGTGCCCCACTTCCAGGTCGAAGGCATGGACGTCAACTTGTCGCTGGTTTCGCAGATGCCCAAGGCAAAAGCCTAAGCCACTCCGTAGGGAAATAATGAGATGAAAATCGACCGCCCCCTGTGGGCTGCGGGGGCGTTGCTGTCTCCGCAACAATTCCAGCAGCAAGCACGTTGGGAGGCCTGGACTAACGAGAACCTGGCCCATTTGTCGTTGGTACACCCTTGGGGCGTCCTGGGGGTTGCGTTCGATGGGCAAGCCTTGCGCCTGGGTAAGCTCAAAGCTACCCAGGTTCGAGTGCGCATGCCCGATGGTACGTTGGTCGATACCGATCACGTGGATCGGCTGCCACCCGCCTGGAGTTAGACCGGTTGCTCCCCGAGGCTGCTCGGGACGCTACGCTGCTTCTGGCGTTGCCGTTGGAACAAGCCAACGGCAACAACTGTGTGTTCGAAGGGGAAAGGGCCGATCGGCCAACGCGCTATCGTCAGGATTGGCGACGAGTGCAGGACATCTACGCAGACGAGGTGCAGTCCATCGGTGTGCTGGAGCACGCGCTGACCTTGCGCCTGGCTGATGATGAGAATGCTGACTACCTGACATGCCCGGTCGCACGCCTGGTGCGTGACGGGCAAGGCGCCTGGAATATTGACCCTGATTATGTACCGCCGTTGCTTAGCTTCGCGGCCCATGCAGGGTTGCTGACCCAACTGGATAACCTGTTGACCCAGTTGGCAGCCAAACGTCAACGGCTGATGGGCATGCGCCGCGAGAGCAACCAGCGCATGGCAGATTTTGCCGTGGCCGATGTGTCGTTGTTCTGGTTGCTCAATGCATTGAACACCTATCAACCAGTCCTGGCGGACATCAAGTCACACCCTGCACGGCACCCCGAGCAGGTGTACCTCGAGCTGGTCAAGCTCGCCGGCAGCCTGCTGACATTTTCCCTGGAACACGACATCGACAAGATTCCTGCCTATCGGCATGAACAGTTGGAAACCGTCTTCCCACCCTTGATGCGCACTGTCTCCACCTTGCTGGAGGCCAGCCTGCCGTCACGAGTCATTGCCCTGGTGCTGGAGGAGGTTGGGGCCAACCGCTGGCAGGTCACGCTCAACGATGCACGCCTGCGTGAGCGGGACGGTGCCGACTTCTACCTGTCGGTACGTTGCCGTATGCCGGCGGCTCAACTGCAAAGCCAGTTCCCGCGCCTGTGCAAAGTGAGCACATCAGACGATGTCAATCACTTGGTCAATGCTGCGCTTGATGGTGTTCCGTTGCAGCCGCTGAGTCATGTGCCGGCGGCGATTCCGCTACGCCTGGAAAACCAGTACTTCGCCCTTGATCTTGGCAGCGCCAAGGGGCAGGCGATGCTGGCCGAAGGCACGTGTGCCATTTACGTCCCCAGCACGTTACTGGACATCAAGCTTGAACTGTTTGCGGTACTGCGCACATGAATCTGACCGCCTTGAACAAACATACCTTCACTGCGCAGGATCTTGACGCCCTGTTGCAAGACATTTATCTGCTGGTCGTCGAGTTGCACCAAGGGGCTTCGCTGCAAAACAGTCCGCAGTTGCCGGAGCGCTGCGCGAAGCAGGTCGAACAGGTTCGACAGGGCCTCAAGGACGCCGGCGTCGGTGCGCGCAGCCTCGAGCTGATCAGTTACGCCCAGTGTGCGTTGCTGGATGAGACCGCACTGGGTTGTGCCAAGGGAGAGGCCCATGCCAATTGGGCTCGCGAGCCCTTGCAGGCAAAGTTCTTCAATCGTCATCAGGCCGGTGAGTTCCTGTATGAAGATATCGGCGAAGCGCTGCGTCGGCCCGCGTCTGATGTGCTGGTGCTGACGGCATTCCAGCGAGTTCTGATGCTCGGTTTTCAGGGGCGCTACCGCGATGTAAACGATCCTGAGCGCGAGCAACTGTTAACCGCCCTGAATGCGCGGGTCGTTCCTCTGCAACTCAATCACACGCTGACGACGCACCGCGTTGGCCGCGGGATACACCGTCTGCGCTGGGTAGGTTCGCCACTGGCGCACGTGCTGATGGCGGGCCTGTTATTGGCCGGCACCTGGTGGGGGCTGGACCACTGGCTGGGCGGCCTGATCGTCACGCTTTTACCAGGTCAGGGGTGAGAGCGTGATGACACTCAAGCTGACACGAGGCCTCTGGCTGTGGGCCGGTGCGCTGGCCTTGACCCTGTTGCTGGTTATTCCGCTCACCGCCGGGGTGCGTGCAGTGGCCGCTTTGGCCATTGTACTAATGCTCGTCTGGGGGTGGGTCCGAACGGGGCGTCGTTTTGCATGGCGCGGCCGACAACTGTTGCTGGCTGGCGATATGGCCCTGCCACCGGCAGGTTATCGCAAGCCTGTGGTGCTGGTCTGTGGCGATGGGCTGGCGGGGCTCTTTGGCGAGCTGCCTGCCGAGCAACTGGTGCTGCGCACCACCGCGCAAGGCTGTTATGTGTGCGTACCGGTTCTTGACCAACTCGTGTCGATCACAGCCAGTATCCAGGCCCGGCGTCCGGATTGGGCGGGACAATTGTGCGTGATGTTTATCGCCAACCCCGCAGAGCACACGGATTCAGCCGCATTGGGTGGTCGGGTACGTGCTTTTCGTCATCAGGTCGCCCTGGTGCGCAAGCGCGGTGTGGCGCTGCCGCTGATGCTGGTGAGCTATCTGCAAGCAACCAAAGGCGAGGGGGCCTGGTTCAGTTGGGAGTCCGGGCAAACCAGCCCTTACGTGAGTGAGGCTGGCGCCAGCGTCAGCTTGTTCGACTGGCAGGGGCAGGCCACCAACGGCGCGACTTACGCCGAACGCCTGTGCAGTGGGGTGCAGATAAGCAGTGCGTCGACGTGGCTGGGAGAAGTGCTACTCCCACACTTGGAGACGCGGCCCGTGGCCTGCGCGATCACTCTGGTACCGGGTCTTGCGCAGAGCATCGAAGGCAACCTGTGGCAACAATGGCTGCATGACAGGACCGGGTTGAGTGGCGCCGGACAATCTCCCGCAGGTTCCAGCCCGGCCTTGCCGTTTCCCGACCCTCTGCTGAATTTGCTACCGATCCATACCCGCAACCCCGCAGTTGTTCGGGCAGGTATTACGGCGCTGTGGCTGTTTGTGTCGGCCGGCGTTGTGGCGCTGGCCAGTTCGGCCTGGCAGAACAACCTGCTGTTGCGTCAGGTCAGTGATGACTTGCGGCGCTACACCACCATTCCCTCGGCCGACCATCGTGACCAGCCCCACTTCGTCTTGGGCGAAAACGCCGTGGCGGTGCTGCGCCAGGACGCCATGCGGCTGGATGACTACTACCGCCACGGCGCACCCTTGGGGCTGGGCCTGGGGCTATACCGCGGCGATCGGTTGCGGCTGTCGCTGCTGGCGACCATTGCCGATCACCGTCAACCGCCCGGGGCCCTGGGGCCCGCCGAGATCTCCAACCCGTTACGGCTCGACAGCCTGTCGTTGTTTGGAACCGGGAGCGCCGAACTCAAGGCGGGCTCAACCAAAGTCCTGATTAATGCACTGGTGGGCATCAAGGCTCAACCGGGTTGGCTGATTGTCATCGCGGGCCATACCGATCTCACCGGCAACGCCGCGCACAACCTTGAATTGTCCCGCGCCCGTGCCGCATCCGTGCGCGACTGGATGCAACGCATGGGCGACATCCCTGACAGCTGCTTCGCGGTTCAAGGCTTTGGCGCCAACCAGCCAATCGCCAGTAATGACACCGAAGATGGGCGTACTGCCAATCGCCGTGTCGATATCCGCCTGGTGCCGGAGACGGGGGCCTGCGCGCCGCCCACTGCGGTGTCAGGCAGGAAAACCTCTGTCGCATCCAGCGACATACACCCCTGAGAAAAGGAGCTTCACATGGCAATTCCCGTTTACCTATGGCTGCAAGACGACGGCGGCGCTGAAATCAAAGGGTCCGTTGACGTACAAAAACGCGAAGGCAGCATCGAAGTCATCGCGCAGGACCACAGCCTGTACATCCCCACCGACAACAATACCGGCAAGCTGACCGGCACCCGGGTTCACACCCCGTTCCTGTTCTCCAAGGAAATCGATGCCTCCAGTCCTTACCTGTACAAGGCGGTGACTACCGGCCAAACGCTTAAGAGTGCCGAGTTCAAATGGTTCCGCATTGATGATGCCGGCCAGGAAGTCGAGTACTTCATCACCAAGCTGGAAAACGTCAAGGTCGTGAAAGTCGCGCCGAAAATGCACGACGTCAAAGACCCGAGCAAAGAAAAACACAACCATCTGGAGCAGATCGAGCTGCGCTACGAGAAGGTCACCTGGACCTACAAGGACGGCAACATCATCCACTCCGACTCCTGGAACGAACGCCAAAGCGCCTGATGCACAGGACCGGCAGGCGCACGTGCGCCTGCCGGTGGGCGGTGTGCAGGGTTGAGCGCCCGTTCGCGGGCGTTCAGCCAAATACATCGAGTCCGTTTGACTACACACCGATAACTCCGAACAGGGATGTACCTGATGGTCCACAATTCCACTCGTTTGCTTCGCCGTCTGAACCCCTACTGCGCCCAGGCACTGAGTGCGGCAGCCACCTTGTGCCAGAGCCGTGCCCATGGACTGATCAGCATCGAGCACTGGCTGCTCAAATTGCTGGAGCAGGGCGAAGGCGACCTGACCCTGATTGCCCGTCGCTACGAATGGGATATGGACGCACTCTGGCGCGGCCTGCTCGACCACCTCGACACCTTGCCGCGCAGCGTGCAGGGCAAGCCGCAGTTGTGCGGCAAGCTGCAGCACCTGATCAAGAACGCCTGGTTGCAGGCATCCCTTGATGGCAACAACCACACCCTGCGCTCGGCTCATCTGCTTGGCGCTCTGCTGGAGATGCCCAGCCTGCTTGCCTGTGACGCTGCTTGGCCGCTGCTCAGTATCAGCGATACCCAGTTACAGCGTTTGTTCGAGTTGCTCGATCAACATTCAGAGGAGCGCCCGCAGGTACAGCAAGAAGCCGCGCTGGATTGCACCGAAGTGCCCGTCTCATCGGGCACCGACGGGTTGGATGTCATGCAAGTCATCCTGGATAAATTCACCCACAACGTCACCGCCAAGGCCTGGGCGGGGCAGATCGACCCGGTATTCGGTCGGGACGATGAAATTCGCCAGGTCGTCGACATTCTCAGTCGTCGACGCAAGAACAACCCGATTCTGGTGGGGGAGCCTGGGGTGGGTAAAACCGCTCTGGTTGAAGGCCTTGCATTGCGCATCGTCGAGGGCAACGTGCCCGACAGCCTCAAGCGGGTCAGTGTACGCATCCTTGACTTGGGCCTGTTGCAAGCCGGCGCCGGGGTAAAAGGCGAGTTTGAACAGCGCCTCAAAAACGTCATCGAGGCCGTACAGCAATCGCCCAACCCGGTGCTGCTGTTTATCGATGAAGCCCACACGCTGATCGGCGCCGGGAACCAAGCCGGCGGGGCCGACGCGGCCAATCTGCTCAAGCCCGCGTTGGCCCGCGGAGAGTTACGCACTATCGCCGCCACCACTTGGAGTGAATACAAACAGTATTTCGAACGCGATGCGGCGTTGGAGCGGCGCTTTCAGATGGTCAAGGTTGAAGAACCGGATGATGGGAATGCTTGCCTGATGTTGCGCGGCCTCAAGGAGCGTTACGCCAAGCACCACGGCGTGCATATCCAGGATGCAGCGGTGCAGGCGGCGGTCACGCTCTCGCGACGCTACCTGACCGGCCGCCAACTGCCGGATAAAGCGGTCGACCTCCTCGACACCGCCAGCGCCCGAGTGCGCATGAGCCTGGATTGCATGCCCCAGACGTTGGTCCGTCTGCGTGCTCGGCAAGGAGCCTTGGAGTTGGAGGCGCAGGCGTTGGAGCAGGATCAGCAGTTTGGCGACGACGGTGCCGATGAGCGCTTGACGACCATCGCCGCACAACATACCGAGTTGCATCACCAATGCATCGATTTGGAAGATCAGTATCAACACGAACTCGACCTGACCCAACAGTTGATTGAAGCGCGCCAGGCGCAGCCGCTGCAACGGGAGACCTGTGCAGCACTGCAGAAACGGCTGGACGAGATTCAGGGCAATCAGCCCTTGCTGTCCCTCGACGTCGATGCCCGTAGCGTCGCTGAAGTGATCGCCGACTGGACCGGTGTGCCCTTGGGCAGTCTGCTCAAGGACGAACAAGCCAACCTGCTGGAACTGGAATACCAACTGGGTGAACACGTCATCGGCCAGGAAGCAGCACTCGGCGCTTTGGCCCAGCGCCTACGTGCAGCCAAGACCGGCCTGACAGACGAAAAAGCGCCGCTGGGCGTATTTTTGCTGGTGGGCACCAGCGGCGTCGGCAAAACCGAAACCGCCCTGACGCTGGCCGACAAGCTATTTGGCGGGGAAAAGTCGCTGATCACCCTCAACCTCTCGGAATACCAGGAAGCCCACACCGTCAGCCAGCTCAAGGGCTCGCCGCCGGGCTACGTCGGTTATGGCCAGGGCGGTGTGCTCACCGAAGCCGTGCGCCAAAGGCCCTACAGCGTGGTGCTGCTCGACGAAGTAGAGAAGGCGCACCGCGACGTCCTCAACCTGTTCTACCAAGTCTTCGATCGGGGCTGCATGCGCGATGGCGAAGGACGGGAAATCGACTTTCGCAACACCGTCATTCTCATGACCTCCAACCTCGGCAGCGATGAACTGCAAGCCTGCCTGCAAGAGTTTCCTGGCGCGCCGGACAGCACCTTGCACGAGTTGCTACGCCCGATCCTGCGGGAACACTTTCAGCCGGCCTTGCTGGCCCGTTTCCAGACCCTGATCTACCGCCCGCTGCCAGCCGACGCCTTACAGCGCATCGTCGCGATCAAACTCGCCAAGGTGGCCAAGCGTTTACAGCGTCACTACGGGCTGGAATGCCAGATCGATGCCGCCCTCAACGACGCGTTGGTAGCCGCTTGCCTGTTGCCCGACACCGGCGCACGCAACATCGACAGCCTGCTCAACCAGCAGATCCTGCCGGTGCTCAGCCAGCAGTTGCTGCAACGCCAGGCCGCCCGACAGAAAACCCGCGGCGTGACCTTGGGCTACAGCGACGAGGAGGGCGTCATCCTGCATTTCATTGACGCCCAAGACGCGGTAGCGCCCGATGCGATGGAGGCCTGAACATGCTTAATGAACTGCGCTGCTTTTTCGACCACAGCCGCCACAAACTCACTGTTCGCAACGTTGATGCAGTACTCGACGTCCTGGCCTTCGAAGGCACAGAGGGCCTGAGCGAACTGTTCAACTACCGCGTGGAGTTCACCAGCACCGCCCGCGACATCGCTGTCGAGAAAATGCTCGGTCAGAACGCCACGTTCAGCTTGTACAGCGCACCGCAGCAATCGCCGATGCGCGGTTTCATCCCGCCGCCTGCCAGGCAGTTGCGCACGCTGCATGGCGTGGTCACCGGCTTCAAACGCCTGTCCGGTTCCGTTGATGAAGCCCGCTACGAAATCACCCTGGAACCCCACTTTGCCCTGCTGGGGCGAGGCCAGCAGTTCCGCATCTACCAACACCAATCCGTCCCGCAGATCGTCGAAAGCATCCTGCGCAACCGCCACGACTTTGAAGGCCAGGACTTCTTCTTCAACCTGGTGCGCGACTACCCCAAGCGCGACCAGGTCATGCAGTACGGCGAGAGCGATCTGGCCTTCATCACCCGCCTGTTGGCCGATGTGGGCATCTGGTACCGCTTCACCCGCGATGAACGCCTGAACATCGAGGTGGTGGAATTCCACGACGACCAACGCCACTACCAATTCAATGTCGAGCTTGCCTACCGCCCACAATCCGGGCTCAGCAGCACCGGGCAAGACGGCGTGTGGAACCTGCAATCCAGCCATCAGGTGGTGGAACAGCACGTCAATATCCGCACCTACCACCACCGCGTGGCCCACGCCCACCTGAACGGGGAAATCGACCAAACCCGTGGCGCCACCACCACCTACGGCGAGGCCTATCACTACGCCGAACCTTACACAGTCATGGGCGACCGCTACGCCTTCGACGAAGACCTGCAAAGCGAAAGCGGCTATTTCTACGCGCGTTTGCGCCACGAGCGTTACCTCAATGGCCAGACCCAACTCAGCGGCGACAGCAGCAGCGCCACCCTGGCTCCTGCGCAGGTACTCAAAATCTCCGGCGGCGCGCCACAGGCCTTTGCTCCCGGCGCGGTGATTACGCAACTGACCACCCGGGCCGCCCGCGACCGCAGTTTCGATGTCAGCTTTAAGGCCATTCCCTACTCGGAAACCGTGTGCTTCCGCCCGGATCTCAAGAAAAAACCGCAAATCGCCGGCACCGTCCCGGCCCGTGTCACCAGCCGGCAGGCCAACGACCCGTACGCCGAAATCGACCTGGAAGGGCGCTACCGGGTGAACTTCCTGTTCGACCGCGACACCTGGAAGCCCGGCCAGGAAAGTATGTGGTTGCGCCTGGCCCGCCCGTACGCTGGCGACACCCACGGCCTGCACCTGCCGCTGATAGCGGGCACCGAAGTGGCTATCGCGTTTGAGCAAGGCGACCCGGACCGGCCCTACATCGCCCATGCCTTGCACGATAGCCGGCGCGAGGACCATGTGACCTTGCGCAACTACAAACGCAACGTACTGCGCACACCGGCCAACAACAAACTGCGCATGGACGACACGCGGGGGCAGGAGCACGTCAAGCTCAGTACGGAATACGGTGGGAAAAGTCAGCTGAACCTTGGGCATTTGGTGGATGCCGAGCGCAAACCACGAGGTCAGGGCGCCGAGTTGCGCACCGATGGGCATGCCGCTATTCGTGCTGGCAGCGGCATCTTCATCAGTGCTGACGTACAGCCCAAAGCTCAGGGACAAATGCTTGAAATGAGCGCGGCGCTGGCTCGGTTGCAGCAGGCGGGCGATCAGTTGAAAGAGTTGTCGGTGGATGCTCAGGCCGCCAATGCCGACCCAGCGGATGTGCAGGCGCAAATCAATCTGCTCAAGCAAGGTCTTGAGCAACTCCAGTCATCAGTATTACTGCTCAGCGCTCCCGACGGTATCGCCGCCACCAGCGGTAAACACCTGCAATTGGCCGCGCAAAATAACCTGATGATCAACGCCGGGGCCGAGGCGGATATCAGCGTGGTCAAGCGCTTGTTCATTGGCGTGGGGCAGGGGGTAAGTCTGTTTGTGCGCAAGTTGGGCATCAAGCTGATTGCCAATCAGGGAGCGATCAGCATCCAGGCGCAAAACGACAGGTTGGAACTGATGGCTCGGCATGGTCTGGATATCACCAGCACCGAAGATGAAATCCGCATTACGGCCAAAAAGAAAATCACCCTCAACGTTGATGGCACGTACATCACCCTGGACACGAGCAGTATCGAGTCGGGGACGAAAGACAGTTACGTCATCAAATCGCCGAATTTCGACTATGTGCCGGTCGCCGGACAGCAAGGGGGGCTGCTGCCACAGTTTCCTCCGTTGGTGGAGCATAAAACCGAATCCTTGAACCGCGAGAATTTCTCCGGTTGACCCCATTGCGAAGTTATGAATGAAACATATGCTCATACGCCTTTTCGATCCATTCAGATCCCCGCGACCTGCTTTGCGCCAGCGTTCGCCCATAAACGCCCGCCCAGTTGCTGTACCTGCACCACCCGAGCCCATTGTCGACCCGCTGCAACCGGTGAAGAACTGGAGCCACCCGTTCAAGGACAAAAACCACCCGCTCTTGCAGTTAACCCAGTTGGCAAAGGCCGAAGCTGGCTACTACCCATTGGGCCGAAATGGTCAGTTTCACGGCGGGGTGCATTTCGACGGTGGTACCGCCGGGGTGCTGGATCAATCCAGCGTGCACTGCCTGGCAGACGGCGAAGTGGTGGCTTACCGCTTCGAAGCACACTCGCCGACGACCACCTTTATCAACAACGAACAGTGCGTGGTCAAACCGTTTTCACGCAATTTCGTACTGGTCCGCCATCGTCTTCAGCCGCCGAAAATCCAAGGCAGCACGGACACGCCCCCCATCCTGATTTTCTACAGCCTGTACATGCATTTGCAGGACTGGACGGTTTATCAGGCGGATTCAACTATCGTCCGACCAGCCTTCTGGCCTGAGGGCGCCACTCGGCATGTCAAAGACTCGGTTAACGACTTGCGTGCCGGAGAACGCGGTCTGAATGTTCGCAATCAAGCTCATCGGGGCAAGTCCATCGCTCTTTTGCCAAAGGGCGCGCAGGTGACGGTCAGCGGTGACGGTGATTACCGCAGGCTGGAGAACACCCCGGGTCCAGATGCTCTGCAAGATGATGAAGGCTTTCTGCGCGGCTATCTCTCCATTAACCATCTGGCGCCGATCTACGGTGGTCAATTCCGGGTCAACACTGAGGGGACACTTAACGTTCGTGCCGAGGCGAGTATCCACAGCGACGTGATCGCGGAACTGCCTCCAGGCACGGAAGTGACTGTCAGCGGCGAAGGCGAATTCCGCAAACTGAACCACATTAATCAATACGTCCACTTCGAATCGCTGCAAGGTGCTTGTGAGCCCGAGGCTCATGACCGGATCGTTGTGCCCGATCAACCCATCGCCATCAAAGCCGGTGACCTGATCGGTCATATGGGCCTTTACCAGGATTGCTACGTCGACCAACCGGAAAAGAAACTGCACCTGGAAGTCATCAGTGGCGAAGGCGTAGACGAGTTCATCGCCGCCAGCCGTGCCTGGGCCGGGCGCCTTCCCTCCAGCGAAAACACCTGGTTGAAGCTCGCCAAAGGCACGCCGGTAATACCGCATAAAGCGCACTACGGTCCTAACCGATACCCTGTCTTGGAGACAGCAACGCCGGTGAGCAGTGTCGACTTGCTACTGCCCAAAAGCGTTCTCGACGGCCTGCCGGCCGAATACAAAATCGACGTACCCACCAGCGATTTCGGGCGGACCTTCAAGTACTACCGCCTCGACGGCTTGCTCAACGACGCCGACAACAACGTGCTCGACGGCTGGGTGCGTGAAGAAGTGGGGGTTACGTCGTGGGTCAGTCCCTGGGCCTGGGAAGGCTACGACATCATCTTTAGCTACGACTCGCCGCTGAGCGCAATTGCCTCGTTCTACCGTGACCTCAATCGTCTCAGCGAAGCACAACTTGAACGGTTTGGCGGCGAGGCGGATGAGGGCGACAAGGGGCGGGTCAAGAGCCGGCTCTATAACCTGCTTTACCGCAACCGCGATGGAAAGATAACGGCTGATGAGTTGCAAGCGGCGATCAACTTGCCGGCCCATGCGCAAACAATCTCGCAGCTGATTGTTCACAGTGAAAGCGAATGGCACCGCCCGCAACGGTGGGACATTTTGGATGAGATTCTTGGGCACAGTGGTTCGACGCCGCATTTGAATTGGCTGGCGGAGAAGGAGCGGATCAAGGAGTTGAGCTGGTGGGGGGAGGTGGCTGAGAGGGTAGGGTTACCTACTTATGGGAAGGTGTATCACTTTCATCCGGTGGCGTTGCCGAGTCAGTTTATGAGTTGTAGTGAAGGTGTGTTGATCTGCCATAAATGTCGTACAAAAATAAATTTGACCGAAGAGTTTGTTAAAAAAATATGTGGGGGTGGGGTTAAGGCGTCTTTCATTAAGGCGATGGTAGATGCGTCAGGGGGTATGTTTGAGAAATATGGCATAAATAGTTGCAGTCAGGTGACTCATCTTTTAGCACAGGCAAAAGTGGAGACTGGAGGATTTGTTGACTTTCGGGAGTCTCTAAATTACTCAAGAAAGACCTATACGGCTAAAAAGCTATATCGTCTGTCTCCAAGTGTAATAAATGCTGGATTCTCTAGAAGAGGTATGGCGTTTTTGGATGAGGAACGTAAGTTGAAGTGGATAGAAGAGAACTTAATAGCAAACGATGCGGCGTATGGTATGCATTGCTATGGAAGTGATGAACAGCCAGGTAAAGATTTTCGAGGTCGCGGTCTGATTCATTTAACTCACTACGAGACGTATAAAAAGTGTGCCTTGGAAACAGGTTTGGCAGTTGATTCAAATCCTGATTTGTTGGAGCGCGATTACTCGATCGCTATAGAAACTGCATTGTGGTTCTGGAGATGGCGAGGCATAGCAGCGATCGCAGATAACGGTCACTTATCAAGTGACTCTGCCGTTACTGCTGTCACTCGCCCAATAAATGCGGGGCTTGCAGGTTTGTCTGAGCGTAAGCAACATAAACGGGATATTACGTCTATTTTCTATCATAATTTTAAGAGTGGTTGTTCAGAATATGATTAGGCTAATTGGGTTCTTGGTTTTTATTTTTGTAAGAAATGCTGTTGGAAGTGAAAGCTTTTGCAACAAGGCTGGGTTGGGGCAGGCCTATCCTCCCAAAGACATATCAGGAGGGGTAGTGTGCTTTGTTTACACTAGAACAGACGAACAATACGATGGCGATTTTTCAAAAAGCCCTGATGGGATATCTGTGTTTTTTTTCGAAAGTCAGAGGGGGCGAAGCTTGTCTATGAATTTCCATATGCTGGAACTCGAGGGAAAATCAACGATGCATTTTTTATCCCAGTTGGCAAAAATATGGTGAGGTACTATTTGTTATTCATAGTATTGAAACGCCAAGGTCTTGGGACCCTGTAAGTGATGTTTATGATGTGAGTGTGATAAGGCTTCAGGGTGAGGTTCCAGTTCTGGATGAACGGCTTACCCGTTTTTTTGATATGGGGGGCGACTTTGTCGATGCACAAGGTCAGCCTACATATTTTTATCCCTATAAGGATAGAACAGCTGTAGAGGCGGCGGTACGCTCGCCTCTCTTTGATGTCGTCAGGACGTCAAGTCCGGTTGAAGGGATTGTAAGGGAAAAGTCTTTCCTTTATCGCGGTGACTCTGAGCCCAGCTTTAAAACGGGGATGTATTTGATAAAAGGGGATAAGGTTAAGGTAGAGGACTCGACGGGCGGCAGATGCAAAGTTACCTACGCCGCAAAATTGAAATCGATCACGATGTGGATCGATTGTAAGTCGATAGTTTTCTAGGTTTATGTCTAAGTTTCCTGTTTCGGAATGAATCAAACTCAAAATAAAAACCTCCTCAACGGATTAATCAAAGCTTATGAAAAACATAATCCGCATCGGTGACAAAACTACCGGCAACGGCACGGTCCTATCCGGCTCCTCGAGCATGCGTTTCGCGAACATCGGAGTCGCCCGCCATGGTGATCCGGTGGAGTGTCCTGTTTCCGGCCACGGCAGAACTGTTATTGCGGAGGGAAATCCAGCATTTCGCGACGACGGCATTACCGTGGCCTTTCAAGGTCATCGCTGTGCGTGCGGTTGTACGTTGATTTCGTCACTACCTGAAGTGAGTGCAAGCTAGTCATGCCGGTCAAATTGAATCAAGTTCCGCCACCGGCATCGCGTCCGTCACCGCCTCGCGTTTGGCTTTGGCTGGCGCTGTTACCTTTGCTCTTGCTGGTGGCTTCTGGCGGTGCATTATTGTTCAGCAGTCAACCCTTGCAGGAACAGGTCGATGTCTTCTGGGGGATCGTTGTGGGCGTGCCGACTTTTGGTTGGTGTCTGTTGGTTTTCGGGCGTTTTTTGCTGTATTTCGATCAAAAGCATGCAGCCAATGGTTGGGATCAGGCTAGGGACCAGGATTTGGCTGAGCGAAAACGCCGTGGCCGACGCTCGCAGCAGGTATTGAGTGTGAGTTTGCATACTGCTCTGGGGGACCCGAAGGTCCAGTTGGACGAGCTGCTTGGTGGGAGCCAAAGGCCAACGGCCCTGCCGTCCAGAATGGCGCCGGCATTGTTGTGCAAAAGTTGCTTGTCGGCCGATACGCCAGACCCTGAACAAGCGCTGTTAAAGGTGATGGGGCGGGTGCTCGATGATTTATTGCCCGCTCTTACGAAACTCCCAAACGACACGCCACTGGGCTTATTGTTGGAAATCGATAGTGGTTTTCCGGAGGCCCAGTGGCGCCGAGTATGGGGGCAGGCCTGGAGTGAGGCAGGGATTCGTCAGCCGGTTGTTTCGGTTGATAGCAGCGGGTTGTTTGCAGTGGATCAATGGCTCGACCAGCGTATCTCCGATAAGGCGCTGTTGTTGGTTGTGGCAATCCAATTTGCCCTGGCCCAGCCACAAGGCGCGAGTGAGGTTGCCGTCGGGATCCTGTTGGGTAACCGGCTGACGCAAACCACTCTGTCGCCAATGGCTTATCTGCATCGCCCTGAGCAGGAGCATGGACCGACCTTGGAGGCGCTGCGTTATGCCGTTTTCCAAGCACTCGACTGGGTGCCACTGCCCGGGCGCTTCATCGAGCATGTTTGGCGAGTGGGCGTGGGGAAACAGCGTAACGCTGCGCTGACAGCGGTGCTGAATGAGGTCGCGATGCCAATGCCACAGAGCCAGGGACTTCATGATCTAGATACCTTGCTGGGGTGCACAGGCAAGGCATCACCCTGGCTGGCGATCGCTGCCGCAACGCAAACTTTTCAACGCGGTGCCGGACCGCAATTCATTTTCAGCGGAAGTAGCGGTGTTGACTCGCTGCTCTGGGGCACGGCGTTGACGCCTGTGCCGACGCTTTCTCAGTAGGAGGCTTGGATGCCGTTTCGAGACGTTGTCGGGTTTGGAGTTCTGGTCTGCGTGTTGTTTCTGATATTGCTGGCTGGGCGCTTTTTGTTGGCGGGAGCGCGGGGGCGTGCCAATTATGGCCAACATGGTGCGGACGATTTGCCGCCGCCTCCACAACTGGAACAGCCAGGAGTTTCGCCCGATAAGGCTCCTGACCTTCAATTTCATCTGCGTGAACAATATGGCCTCTTCTGGCGCCGAAAAGTCCGCCTGCTCCTAGTCATCGGCGAACCCGCCGAAATCGCAGCCATCGCCCCAGCCCTGGCCGATCAGAAGTGGCTGGAAGGCCAAGGCACCGTCCTGCTATGGGGCGGCAGCGCCCAGGCCAAACTAAATCAATCATTCCCAAACCAATGGAGCGGGCTGAGCCGCTGGCGCGCACTGGACGGTGTGGTCTGGGCACTGAATAAAACCCAAACCGCCGACGACCCTGCAATGAGCGCAGGTGTACGCGAGGTGCAGCGCCTCGCCAGTGGCCTGAAGTGGCAACTGCCGTTATACCTCTGGCAGGTCTGCGAAAGTGAGTGGCCTCAAGACACGCGCACAGCCCGCCCAGTGGGCTGCCTGCTGCCCGAGCGCTTCACGGCGGCAGCTTTGGAAACTTCTCTGTCGCGCCTGCTGGAGCCTTTGCGTCGCGAGGGGCTGGCGCAGATCAGTACCGTGATGAAGCATGACTTCCTGCTGCGCCTGTCCAGGGATTTACAGGGCGAGGGCATCGCCCGCTGGCGTCATGCGCTGGCGCCTTTCGGCGATACGTTTGCCCATGATGTGCCCCTGCGGGGCCTGTGGTTCAGCCTGCCGGTACAGCGCACGCCGCATGATAGAGAACATGATTGGTCAGTTGCCCCGGTGTGGCATGGGGTAACCAACGATAACGCCAGCGGCCGCCGGCTGGGCTGGAGCGCGCCGCGCGTCGGGTATGCGCTGGTGTTGGGGTTGGCGCTGCTATGGGGCGCCGGGTTGCTGCTGTCCTTCGCCAGCAACCGCGTACTCATCGCCCAGGTACAAACGTCATTGGCGGCGTTGCAGCAGTCGGGAAGCCCTGACGAGCAACTCAGCGCGCTCAACGATCTGGTGCGCGAACTGGGGCGCCTCGACTACCGCGCCAAACACGGCACGCCTTGGTATCAGCGCTTTGGTCTGAACCAGAATCAAGACCTGCTCGCGGTGTTGTGGCCGCGTTACGTCGAAGCCAACAACCGCTTGATCCGTGACCCGGCGGCCGCCCATTTGCACCGCCAGCTCAACGCGTTGATCAGTCTGCCCCCGGGCAGCGAACAACGGGCTGAACGTGCCCGGGAGGCCTACGAGCAGTTGAAGGCGTACCTGATGATGGCGCGCCCGGCAAAAGCCGACGCCACCTTCCTGGCCCAAGCCCTTGGAAATGCCGAGCCGCTGCGCGAGGGTGTGTCGTCCGGCCTGTGGCAGGGCCTGGCGCCTAATCTGTGGCGGTTCTATGGCGAACACCTGTCGGCGCATCCGGCCTGGGCGATCCAGGCCGACCCGAAGCTGGTGGCTCAGGCCCGACGGGTCCTGCTCAGCCAACTGGGCCAGCGCAACGCCGAAACCCATCTGTACCAGCAGGTCCTCGATGCAGCAGCCAATCAATACCCTGAGCTGCACCTGCAAACCATGACCGGCGAAACCGATGCCACGGCGCTGTTCCATACCGTGGCCAGTGTGCCGGGCGTGTTCACCCGCCAGGCCTGGGAAGGGCAGGTACGCCAGGCCATCGACACTATCGCCGAAGCACGCCGTGAAGAAATCGACTGGGTGCTCAGCGACAACCAGACCGAAATCGCCACCGAGCTGACCCCGGATGTGCTCAGGGAACGCCTCGCCGAGCGTTACTTTCAGGATTACGCCAGTGCCTGGCTGGACTTTCTCAACAGCCTGCGCTGGAACCAGGCCAGCAGTCTGAGTGATGTGATCGACCAGCTGACACTGATGACCGACGTGCGCCAATCGCCCTTGATCGCGTTGATGAATACCCTGGCCTATCAAGGGCAGGCTGGCACGCGCAGCCAGGCCTTGGCCGACTCGCTGGTGCGCTCCGCACAAAAGCTGATCACGCAAGACGAAGTGCCAATGATTGACCAACTGGCACAAGCACCGCGTGGTCCGCTGGATGCCACCTTCGGTCCATTATTGACCCTGCTCGGCAAAGACCCGCAGGGCCAGGCCGACAATGATCGGTTGAGCCTGCAAGCGTTCCTGACCCGCGTCACACGGCTGCGCCTGAAACTGCAGCAAGTGAGCAACGCTCCCGATCCGCAGGAAATGACCCAGGCGCTGGCGCAAACCGTGTTTCAGGGCAAAAGCGTGGACCTGACGCAAACCCAGTCCTATGGCAGCCTGGTCGCGGCGAGCCTGGGAGCCGAATGGAATGGGATCGGTCACACCCTGTTTGTGCAGCCGCTGGACGAAGCCTGGCAGCGAGTATTGCAACCCTCGGCCGCAGGTCTCAACAGCCAGTGGCAGCGTGCGATCGTGCGTGATTGGCAGAGTGCCTTCGCCGGGCGCTACCCGTTTGCAGAAACCGCCAGTGATGCTTCCCTGCCGATGCTGGGGCAGATGATCCGCGCCGACTCCGGACGCATTGAGCAGTTTTTGCGCAGCCAACTGAGCGGCGTGCTGCGCAAGGAAGGCAGCCGCTGGGTCGCCGACCCGCGCCATAGTCAGGGGTTACGGATCAATCCGCAGTTCCTGGCGGCGATCAATCAGCTCAGCCACCTGGCCGACGTGATCTACACCGACGGCGGCATGGGGTTGAGCTTCGAACTCCAGGGCAAGGCCGCCCGGGACATCGTGCAAACTACCTTCATCCTCAACGGCGAACGGCACCACTACTTCAACCAGAAAGAAAGCTGGCAGCGTTTCAATTGGCCTGGTCGCAGCGACTACCCAGGGGCGAGCCTGAGCTGGACCAGCATCCACACCGGCGAGCGCTTGTTCGGTGATTATCAGGGCACCTGGGGCTTGATCCGCCTGTTGGAGAAAGCCCGAATCACCACCCTGGACGACGGTGACAGCCGTTACCGCATGGTCCTGAAAGCGCCTGACGGCCTGAACCTGACCTGGAACCTGCGCACCGAACTGGGGGCAGGGCCGTTGGCGTTGCTCAAGCTGCGTAACTTCACATTGCCGCCGCAGATATTTCTCAACGAGGGCGCCGTTGCAGAGCCCTATGCACAGAACGGAGGCTTTGAATGAGCCTGCACGCTTTGATCTCCCACTGCCTGGGCGACCGCGATCCTTTGGTCCTGGCTCGCAGCCAGGCGGAACGCTGGCAACCCTGGCTCCAACCCATCAGCAGCCATTCGCCGGCAGGCGAAGACCCTGGCTATGACGATGACTTCCAACGCATGCGCGAGGAGGTCAACCAACTGTCCGGCGCGGATGCAGAACGGGTGGCCCAGTTGGCAGAAAAGCTGCTGATCCACACGTGCAAAGACCTGCGGGTGGTCACCTATTACCTGTGGGCGCGCTTGCAGAAGGGTGGGGAGGCAGGGCTGGCTGACGGCCTGACGTTGCTTGCCGCGTTAGTCGAGCGTTTCGCCGCTGAAGTACTGCCGGTACGCGCCAATAGCCGCAAGATGGCCCTGGAGTGGCTGGCCAGCGGCAAGGTGCTGGACAGTCTGTCGCTGTACCCCGAAGTAGTGCGCAGCGAAGCCGAGCGCACGGTGGCGGCGTTGGCCTGGCTGGAGCGGGGGCTTGAAACCTGGCCGCAGGATCAGCGCCCCGCCCTGGGCGCATTGTACGGCGCACTGTCCGCCCGGTTGACTCAGTCCGGCGGGGTGGATGCGCTGGTGCCGCAGCACAGCGCCAGCCATGAGTCCAACGCGCACACATCGCCGAGCGCCACGGCCATCAAGTCCGGACGCGATCTGTTGGACAGCGGCAGGGCGCTGGCAGGTTATTTGCGCGAGCAGCCCCAGGGTTGGCTGGCGGCGCATCGGCTGATGAAGAGTTTGCGGTGGGACACGGTGCATCAGGCGCCGCCTGAGGAAACCAGTGGCAACACTCGGCTGGCACCACCCCGTGGCGACTATCGGGCACAGCTCAAGCGCCTCTACCTGCAACAGAGCTGGACTGAACTGCTCGATCAGGTCGAGCGGATATACGCCGAAGGCGTGAACCATTTCTGGCTGGATTTGCAGTGGTACCTCTGCCAGGCGCTGAGCAAACAGCCCGCGCCACAAGACAGTTGGGCGGACATCGTCAAGCGTGACCTGGGCATGTTTCTCGACCGCCTGCCGGGCCTGGAACTGCTGCACTGGAGCGATGGTGCGCCGTTCGCGGACGAGATCACCCGTGACTGGATCACCCAGCACGTCACTGGCAATCGCGCGCAGCAATGGCTGCCCGCACCGAAGGCGGTGCCAACCACCGCTGACACAGACATCTTGTCGCTGGAGAGCGAGGCCCTGGCTCAGGCCGACAGCGCCGGCGTAGAAGTCGCACTCGCGTGGCTGGCGGCCCGGCCCGACATGCAGACCGGCCGCCAGCGCTGGCTGCTGCGGCTGTTGATGGCGCGTGTGGCGGAGCAATACGGCAAAAGTGACCTGGCCATGCACCTGTTGGCCGAACTGGACGCTACCGCGCAGCACCACGCGTTGGATGCCTGGGAGCCGGAGCTGAATTTCGAGGTCAAGGCTCGCCTGCTCAAACTGTTGCGTCTGAAGGCGCAACGCACCGATGCCGACAAACCCTCGCTGACCCGGCGCACCGAGGCGCTGCTGGCAGCGCTGGTCGCAATTGACCCGGTAAGCGCGGCTGTGCTCTGCGGCTAACCCTCTTTCATCTGGAGTATTTCTGTGAGCTTGGACAATTTGACACTGCGCTATTACGACGCCGAAATGCGTTACCTGCGCGAGGCCGGCAAGGAGTTCGCCGAAGCCTTCCCGGATCGAGCGGCCCAGCTCAATCTGGATAAACCGGGCGCGCAAGACCCATATGTGGAACGGCTGTTCGAAGGGTTTGCCTTCTTGATGGGCCGTCTGCGGGAGAAGCTTGACGATGACTTGCCGGAGCTGACCGAGGGGCTGGTGAGCCTGTTGTGGCCGCATTATTTGCGCACCATTCCGTCGCTGTCGGTGATCGAGTTGGTGCCGGAGCTGGCGCAGATGAAATGCAGCGAGTCCGTTGGCAAGGGTTTTGAGGTGTTATCCCAACCCATCGGCCCGCAAGCTACTCGTTGTCGTTACACCACCACTCAGGACCTGACCTTGCAGCCGCTGGCCCTTGAGTCGGTGCGGTTGGCTTATGAGCCAGACGGACGCTCGCTGCTGCGTCTGCGCTTTGCCTGCGGCGCGTTGACGGACTGGAACCAGCTCGACCTGAGCCGTCTGCCGCTGTACCTGAGCGCCGATGCACCGCTGGCCAGCGCCTTGCACCAGGCGCTGACGCTGAACACCCAGGCGCTGTACGTGCGTCTGCCTGGGCAAGACGCACGCGAAACCCTTGACGGCCATTTCGCGCCCAAGGGCTTCGCCGACGAGGATCGCCTGTGGCCCAAGGGCGATAGCGCGTTCAGTGGCTATCAGTTGCTGTTGGAGTACTTCACGTTTCGCGAGAAGTTCATGTTCGTGACCCTCTGTGGTCTGGAACAACTCCGTCTTAATGCCGGCACCCCCTGGTTCGAACTGGACGTGGTGTTGCGTGAGGCGTGGCCGCGTGAATTCAGTGTGAGCAGCGAACACATTCGCCTGCATGCGGTGCCGGTGATCAACCTGTTCGCGCTGGACTGCGACCCCTTGACGCTGGAGCCGTTGCAAACGGACTACCTGCTGCGGCCCATGCGGTTGCAGGACGGTCACACCGAAATTTATTCGGTCGATCAGGTGACCTCGTCAAAGAGCAACGTACGCCACGACTACGTGCCCTTCAGCAGCTTTCGCCACAAGGGCGGCATGCTGCGCGACGACGCCCCGGAGTGGTATTTCCATACCCGTTTAAAACGTTCGGCCAAGGGCTTGCATGACACCTGGTTGATCCTGGGCGGTGACGGCTTCGACAAGGATCTGCTAAGCAACAGCGAAAGCCTGTCGTTACGCTTGACCGGCACCAACGGACTGCTACCCCGCAAGGCCCTGCAAAGCACCTTGCTCGACACCGTCATGCAGTCCACTCAGGCCGGCCTGCGGGTACGTAACCTGTGCGCCCCCAGCTTGCCGTGCTACCCACCCAGCCGTGACCGTTTTCATTGGCGCGTACTCAGCCATCTGGGTTCCAACTTCCTGCCGATGCTCGACAGCGCCGAGGTACTGCGCGGCACCCTGGCACTGTACGACTGGACCGGCAGTGAGCTGAACCGTCGTCGGCTGCAAGCGATCGTCGAGGTTCGCCACCATCTGGTTCAGCGCTTCGAGAAGGGCTTTCTGCTGCGGGGGGTGGATATTGAAATCACGCTCGACGCCCATGGTTTTTCAGGGGAGGGCGATATCAGCCTGTTCGGCGAGATGCTCCATCGCTTCTTTGGCCTGTACGCCGATATTCATTTGTTCAACCAGCTCACGCTGATCCTGCAACCTACTGGAAAGTGCCTGCGATGGAACGAGAACCACAGTCAGCGTATTCCCGGCTGAAAGCTTCCGGGTTACTGGAGGCGCTGGACGGGCGGGTCGCCGAGGCGCACCTCTACCGGTTCTGCCAGTTGCTGGAACAGGCGTTGCCCAATCACCCGCCACTGGGGGAGCTCTGCGCATCCGGCGGATGACCCGGTGCGCTTTCGGCCTGACCCTGGCATGGGATTTCCTGCGGGGGAACTGAAGGCCATCGAAACCTGTGGGGACCTGCCTGAACGTCCTGCGACGGTACGCACGCGCCTGCTCGGGCTTTACGGTGTTGACTCGCCGATGCCAACGACCTTTCAGGACGATATCGCCCAGCGTCGTGAAGGTCACGAAGCGTTGGAGGCGTTCCTGGATATTTTCAACCACCGGATCTTCACCCAGTTCTATCGCATCTGGCGCAAGTATTCCTACCCGGCGACGTTCGAGGCAGGTGGTAGTGACGCGACGTCACAGTGCCTGCTGGGGTTGATCGGCCTGGGGATTCCCGGTACGGCCAAGCAGATTGCTACGCCGATCTCGCGCTTTCTTGCGCTGCTCAGCGTGATGCGCCTGCCTACCCGTAATGCCGAGGGGATCAGCGCATTGGTCAAGCTGTTGGCACCTGATACCGAGGCGCGGGTAACACCGCACTGGCCACAAAAAAGTAGCTTTGGTTCAGCCGGCCAGTCTGTCGAAGCGTCATCCGGTGAGTTTGTCCCAAGGGACGCCATTGGGCAGCGTCGGCGTTGATGCCAACAGCCAGTTGCACCTCGCGCTGTTCACTGAGGACCTGAACGAAGCGCGTAGCTGGTTGCCGGGCGGCCGGTTGCACAACGACTTGCTGGTGTTGTTGAGGGTATATCTGGGCTGGCGTTGCACCGCGAAATTGCAGCTGTCTCTGCCGATAAATAGCCTCCCCAGTCCCGTGTTGGGTGGCACGCCGGTGCTGCTGGGCATGACCGGCGTCCTGGGGCTGGGCAGTGAGGCCTGGCAGGTCGGCGAACACGAAACCATCACCATCAATCTGGGCCGATACCAAGGCCTGCACAGCAACCCCCGATTCCGAGAGGCACAGCATGTCGCATATCATTTTTAATCTATTGAAGGTGACGCTGCTTGGCGCACTGCTCACCGGGTGCGGGCTGACTCCAGACAGTGAGTGATGCCACCACGTCTGCGGCCAAGGCCATCTTCTTTAAGCAAGTGAAAACCCTGCACCTGGACTTTACCGGCCGAGCAGCGACGAACGCTGACAGGACGGACATGACCGGGCTAACGGTGCCAACAGTAGTGCGCGTGTACCAACTGCGCGACAACAAAACCATGGAAAGAGCCGCCTACCACAGTGTGTTGAGCGACGCTGACAACCTGCTGAGTGCCGACCTGCTGGATCAGCAAGCGCTGGTGATCAAACCCGGGGAGGGCGCACAGCTGGATGTGCCGCTGGATACAGACGCTCAATTCGTTACGGTCGTGGCGTTGTTCCGCACGCCCGACACGCGAATGAACACGTGGCGCCTGACGCTGACCCGCGACGATCTGGACCCGGACCGAGCCAGGGTGATTGAGCTCGGCGACAATCGACTGGCCCTGAAACCGTTGGCACAGGAGTAAGCCGTGAGCGAACTGAACCCCTCGCTTTACGAAATGCTTTTGCAGAATTTCGACGGCGAACTCGACATGTACCGCGTCCGGGAAGAGGACCAACACACGTTATCGGTGCTGGATAACCTGCGGCGCATTCTCAACAGCCGGGCGGGATCCCTCAGCCACCTGCCGGATTATGGCCTGCCGGACATGGCGCAGACGCTGCAAGGGCTGCCCGCCTCGGCACATGGGCTGATGGGGACGCTGATGAATACGTTGCTCAAGTACGAACCGCGTCTGGAAGCCGTCAACATCGAACTGTTGCCACAGATCTGGCCCGGCCATTTGGAATATTCCCTCGATGTACAACTGAAAAACGGCGAGCGGGCGACCTTCGGCACAACCCTGGCGCCCGAGGGCAAAAGTATTGGTACGTCATTTAAGACAGCAGGACTACTTGTCGAAGCCGTAAACCTGTAACGGAAGGGAAGCTGGATGACAGCGTTATTTGAAATGCGTATTCGAGTCGGTGGTGATCCTCGCGGCTTTGGTGAGTTCACGGCTTTGCGGGACGAGTTGGCCAAGCTGAGCCATCCAGCATGTCCAGACGTCGACTGGGCAAAGGTTGAACAGTTGTGCCTGACGTTGTTTCAGAACAACGGCGCGGAGCTGCAAACCGCCGCTGCTTTTGCGTTGGCGCGCAGCCAACGCTACGGCCTGGAGGGCATGGCCCAGGGAGTGACGCTGATTGAGGCGTTATGCAGCGAATGGGCTACGGTGTGGCCCCTAAGACTTCGGTGCGTTTGGGTATTCTCGTCTGGCTGTTTGGCCAATGGCAGCCGTTGCTGCGCCGCGTGGAAAGTACCTGTCAGGCAGTGCCCGTCCCTGAGCGCCTGAGCGGTGAACTGGATCGATTGGCCGCGCAGTTGGATCGTCAGGGGCAGGCGCCTCTGGTCAGCCTGCAGGCGCTGCGTCATCAGGTTGGCAGCTTGATGCGGCGTTTGGAGCGCAGCCAAAATGCAGGTGGAGCGGACCTGATGTTGACGAGCGCCCCGGAACCGGCCTTTGTCCTGCCGGTGGTTATCCTGCCCGCCCTACCAATGCCGGAGTTGCTGCCTGCGGTCTCCCGAAAGCCCCGTATCGTTCTGTGGCTGTTTGCGCTGATCACATTGATGGCGCTGGGTGGTGGTTGCTGGTGGTGGGTTGATCAACGCGTCCAGCCGCAACCAGCGGTGCCCGGCACTGTGCACCTGGACAGCCTGTCGCTGTTCGATGCCGGCAGCATCGAGCTCAAACCCGGCTCGACCAAGGTGCTGATCAATGCACTGGTCAACATCAAGGCCCAGCCCGGCTGGCTGATCGTGATCGTCGGGCACACCGACACAACCGGCGACGCCGAGCAGAACCTCCAACTCTCCTACGCCCTGCCTCGGCGGTACGCGACTGGATGCACCGTATGGGTGATCTTCCGGATAATTGCTTTGCCGTCCAGGGCGCGGCAGGCAAGCAGCCGATCGCCAGCAATGACACGGCATCTGGACGAGCAGCCAACCGTCGGGTTGATATCCGCCTGATGCCACAAGCACAGGCCTGTGCGCTGTCGGAGACTGGGGAGGGCTAAGCCGTTGCGAACCACGCATAGTGCAACTCAGGCCAGCATCGCGGCTGCTCCTTCGAAATTCAACATAATTTTTGACTCCACGTCGCGGCTGCTCCTTCGGAAATTCAACATAATTTTTGACCCACGTCGCGGCTGCTCCAGCTCCTCGAAATTCAACATAATTTTGACTCCACGTCGCGGCTGCTCCCTTCGAAATTCAACATAATTTTTGACCTGCTCCCTTCGAAATTCAACATAATTTTTGACTCCACGTCGCGGCTGCTCCCTTCGAAATTCAACATAATGTTTGACTCCACGTCGCGGCTGCTCCCTTCGAAATTCAACATAATTTTTGACCTGCTCCCTTCGAAATTCAACATAATTTTTGACCTGCTCCCTGAAATCAACATAATTTTTGACTTCTGCTCCCTTCGAAATTCAACATAATTTTGACTCCACGTCGCGGCTGCTCCCTTCGAAATTCAACATAATTTTTGACTCCACGTCGCGGCTTTTTGACCTGCTCCCTTCGAAATTCAACATAATTTTTGACTCAACGTCGCGGCTGCTCCCTTCGAAATTCAACATAATTTTTGACCTGCTCCCTTCGAAATTCAACATAATTTTTGACCTGCTCCCTTCGAAATTCAACATAATTTTTGACCTGCTCCCAGCGAAATTCAACCTCATTTTGTCTCCACGTCGCGGCTGCTCCTTCGAAATTCAACATAATTTTTCACCTGCTCCCTTCGAAATTCAACATAATTTTTGACCTGCTCCCTTCGAAATTCAACATAATTTTTGACCTGCTCCCTTCGAAATTCAACATAATTTTTGACCTGCTCCCTTCGAAATTCAACCATAATGTTTGACATCGGCTTCTCCCTTCGAAATTCAACATAATTTTGACTCCACGTCGCGGCTGCTCCTTCGGAAATTCAACATAATTTTCGACCTGCTCCCTTCGAAATTCAACATAATTTTGAACGCTGCTCCCTTCGAAATTCAACATAATTTTTGACCTGCTCCTTCGAAATTCAACATAATTTTGTCTCCACGTCGCGGCTGCTCCCTTCGAAATTCAACATAATTTTTGACCTGCTCCCTTCGAAATTCAACATAATTTTTGACTCCACGTCGCGGCTGCTCCCTTCGAAATTCAACATAATTTTTGACCCCCTGCTCCCTTCGAAATTCAACATAATTTTGACTCCACGTCGCGGCTGCTCCCTTCGGAAATTCAACATAATTTTTGACTCCACGTCGCGGCTGCTCCCTTCGAAATTCAACATAATTTTGACCTGCTCCCTTCGAAATTCTTAACCTATTTTTGACTCCACGTCGCGGCTGCTCCCTTCGGAAATTCAACATATTTTGACCTGCTCCCTTCGAAATTCGCCTGGTAACGACTCCACGTCGCGGCTGCTCCTTCGAAATTCAACATATTTAATATTTTTGACTTCACGTCGCGGCTGGGCCCTTCGAAATTCAACTATAATTTTTGACTTTTTCCACGTCGCGGCTCCCAGCTCCTTCGAAATTCAACATAATTTTGACACTACGTCCGGCTGCTCCTTCGAAATTCAACATAATTTTGACCTGCTCCCTTCGAAATCCAACACCAATTTTTGACTCCACGTCGTGGCTCTCCCTTCGAAATTCAACATAATGATTTTTGACTCCACGTGCGCGCTGCTCCAGCGTGAGGGAATTCAACATAATTTTTGGGCGCCTTAGGCCTTCGGAATTCAGCAGCACATAATTTGCAGAAACAATCCACGTCGTGTTTATCCTTCAGAGAGGAGAGAAGAGGGAGTTCGGTGACTGGCGCGCCCCCCGCGCCCGCGCATATTGGTTGCGACTCCACGTCGCGGCTGGCATAAATACCGCTGCGCCCAGGAGTAACGCATGATGGTTGCGTTACCGATACTTATCGCCGGGAGTTCACATTGTATTGGTTCTCCGTTTTTTTTTTTTTTGCAGTACTTCGTCGTGGCTATATCCTGCGCTCAGGGTTCTGTGAAGAGCTGATGATGATTTTTTG